GGCAGTGAAAAAGCAAAAATGAAAGAACAGTGCATTGTGTGTAAAAGTTTATCATCATCTTTCTGAAGAGAACTGGACAGAGGCTGCTGTCTGTGCTTCCCCCAAGGAGTTATAACATCTCTAAGGTGGCATGTGAGAAGAGCCAGAAGGAAGGATGAAAAAGGGAGAAAGTTTTAGTAAGAAGCAGAGTTTTTTAGACTAGGGGTAAGACAAACTTCTTGGACAGGCCTAGGTCAACAGCCTAAGAGTACTGCTGAACACTGGGAAAAGCAGAGTGGGTCCCTATCTACTCCATGTGCATGTAAGCTCAGCTTACAAACCATCTGTACTTATTAATTGTTCCTATATTTACAAGGTATTTTTCAGTACTACCAGTGCTTTCAAGGCTTTTCTCAATTAATACATAGTTCAGTGATGAAGAGACCAGCAATGGCGTGTGGTCATCAGGACAACTCAAGATGCAGAGCAGAACAGGATATTAGGACAGAGCAAGCCCTTCCTAAGCACACCTCAGGTCCTGGTAGTAAAAGCGTGTAACTAGCAAGCAGTCAATCAAAAAGACAAGTACCATAAAATAGAGTCAAAAAAACAAGAAGCAAGAAATGGCAAGCCCAGTGAAATAGGAAGGAGTACTGACAGACCGACAGAGGAAGAAGCATCCAGCAAAACTGGGAGAGATTTTTGGAAGGAGCGCAGCAAAAAACAATTAGACATGTATGTGTAGACTCTTCTCTCGAACAAGATCCAAGAAATGTGTAGTGACTACCTCAGAGGAGAGGAAGTGGGGGGTAGGAGGGAGGCTTACTCTCATACTGGATACTTTTAGTACTTTAAAAATTTTGGGGGCTTCCCTGGTGGCGCAGTGGTTGGGAGTCCGCCTGCCGATGCAGGGGACGCGGGACCCTCCCTGGTGTGGGAGGGTCCCGCGTGCCGCGGAGCAGCTGGGCCCATGAGCCACGGCCGCTGAGCCTGCGCGTCCGGAGCCTGTGCTCCGCAACGGGAGAGGACACAGCAGTGAGAGGCCCATGTACGGCAAAAAACAAAACAAAAAAATTTTGTACCATGTGTGTGCACTATCTATGTAAAAGCTGACAGAAAAAGGAGGAGAAAAAAAGCAAGCAGAGATGTGGACAGCAAGGGCCAGCCAGGCAGACAGATAGCAAAAAAGCAGAAAGACAAGGAGAGACTGGGAAAATGGCAAAAAGATTGAGGCAGGCAGACTGTGTGAGGGGCCAGAAAGATAAAAAGAAAAAGAAAGAACTGAAACAGAGGCAAGCAGTGAGAGAAGGCAGGGTAGGGGATATGGCAAGAAGGCAGGTAAGACTTTGGGGCAAGGGGGTCACTGACAGGTCTGCGGTAGCGAGACGATCACCATTGATGGGATGCTGGAATAGCGGAAGCCAAGGGAGAAAATGCTGATAAGCAGACACACTAAAAAGATACAAGCATTAAACAGTGGGACAGCAGCAAGCAAGCAGAGTAGACAGGCAAGACGACATACACAGAGGGAGGCCAGGAAAAAGCATGAACTAAATAGACATAAAGAAAAGAAGGAACAAGTAGAAGGCAAGATAAGAGGCAAACCAAGACAGGGAACCATGGTAGGGCCTGGAAGGTAGACAAACCAAGAGACGGAGACTAAAAAAGTGATAGAGACAGGCAGGCGGGGAGACAGATGGCTAGAGAGAGAGTGGTGGGCAAACAGCCAGAGAAGCAGACAGACAACCAGAGAGAGAAAGAGGCTGCCAGCCAGTCAGGGAGGAGCAGACAGGCAGGCAGGCAGGCAGACACCATGATAGGAGCAAGCAGGTAGAGGAGCAGGCAGAAACAAGGATAGAAGAAGAAAAATCAAGAGATCAGTAGGGAGAGAAAAGAGAACAGGAGATGCAGGCAGGCAGAGGAGGAGATGGACAAGAGGGAGAATCAGGCAAATTAACAGATCCATATGCAAAGCACACTCGAGAGAATGATGAATGTTTGTACAGGGATGCACACAGCCACCTTTCGCCCCCCACACCTGCAGCTCATGGCACATGTGGCAGGCAGGCAGGCAGAGGCGCTCAGCACAGAGGGAGAGGGCGCACCATGATGCGCAGGGCTGCCCACATGCACGTGGGGACACTCTTCCCAGACACACACAGAGAGGCCAGAAAGAGGGGGAGTCAGGCACACATGAGGAAGAGGCACACGCAGTCAGAGCCTGGAAGACAGAAGTAAACAGAAAGAAGACAGAGATGGAAAGTCACTTAGAGGTGACAGAGCCTGAGAGTCAAGAGATGAGAAAGGACAGTCTCGGTAAAAAATAAAGACACACATACACAGAAGCCCATATACAGAAAGAGGGGGATACCCAGATGGACTAGTACACAAGGACCGAGAAAGAGGACATAACAAAATCAAATGGAAGAGAATAGGAGTTACACTCAGTACAGGAATGATATGGGAGCAGAAACAAGAGAACTCCAAAGTCCAGGTTAAGAAAAAGATGGAAATCAATGCTCAATAAAGAGCATTAGCTGGGGTTGCAGGGTGGCACATCAATAAAGAATACTTAAACCTTGTAAGCAAAAATATGCCCTGTCACTATTACTTTCTGGTTGCTGCTTACCTACCCCTCCTTCTTAAGGTACTCCCAAACCCTGCAGGGGCTGCTGGGTGTCTAGCAGCTATACTCAAGAGACAGAGAAATAACCCAGGAGAGAAATGATTCCACAGGCATGGGATGGGAAGCAAGGAAAAGGTCAAAGCGAGATCCAAAGAATGGGAGGAAACTGTAGTTAAGAAAAGGGTGACAAGAACGAAATAGGATTGAACTGAGCTACTTGCCCTTCTTCCTTTGCTAGCATCGCTCAACTGGCAAGTTTTATTTTGTGACTTCTCTGACCAAATCTCCGGATGAGAACGCTGCTTTTGGACTCCTTTTCAACCTTCCATCTGATTCCTGATACCACTTTAAAGATAAACATAGGAGTACAGTGGGAAACCATGGGTCAGAAAGTCAGATGAAAATGTGAGCGTAACCCCCTACCTCTTTCCTTTTCTCAGTCCCAGTTACTTTTCTTTTTCATGGTACCTCAGTTTCTTCCACTCTATCAGTGTTGCAGATCATGGAGGAAGGGAAATATACTGAAAACAGGAGAAAAGAGAAAATAATTTCACAATCTTCAGACTTAACTCTTTCC